GTGTTTCTGAGTCTCTTAGGGAAGCTGAAGTTAGTTCTCTTCACAAATCAGTCAGTTAAAACGGCCTCATTCTTTAGGTTGTAAGGTAATGAGAGGTTGTAAGGTAATGAGAACCACTAATTAGCTGCTGAAGTAGCAGGGTCGGCAACTTCAAAGGAGCCATTTTACCACCTCTAACTGAAAGCTGGGAGAAAAAGAGTCACGTGACTGTGCACGTGTGTTTGTGTTGTGGGTTAATTAACAGTAGGAAGAGAGATAGAGTGAGGATAAAACACATAATATAAGAATAATAACATCTCTTAACAAGAATACGTTTTTTTTAATTAATTTTCGTTTTTTAGTTAATTTTTAAGAACTGTTTAACAAACACTTGTTTGTGCAGGTTGTTTTTTAAATAAAACCTGCAGTTCTGTTTAACTTCTCAATATGTGAAAGATTATTGAAATATAAAAAAGCCACCTTCAAATTAATAAAATGCTGCCATTAATATTATTAATATGATGTGTAGATATTTAAAGCAACAACATATTAAATGATACTAAATGATACTGTGTGCAGGTGATAATATTTTTAGGAAGCAGAATTTGAATGCAGACCAACTCAAATGTTGAAGCCTACAAAAATATCATCCAAGCTTTCATTTATGATTGTTCATACTTTGAAATTGTGATGTCAGAATTTGATAAAGTGTGCATTGCTAGGTGTAGCAAATCATTGCTTATTAAATCTACTCTGTTATCTAATAGCACCAAACTAATAGAGCTATCACATAACTGAGAAACGTGTGTGGCTTATTACAAATGGATGAAACCACATTTTACCTTAATGAAGACAGTAATCTTTAATAAGGTGTAGAAAAAAGAGGTGAGTTGTTTGTATTCCAGCTGTGGTAAACAAAGAAGTGTACTGAATCTTTTGGACTACACAGAGTGATGCAGTATTGACTCTGATGCGGATTGATGTTGTCTCATTCTGTGTTTTTGTGCTTTGTCTTTTGTTACAAAGAGTGAAAGAGATCTTTGGTTTTGCCTTTGCTGGTAAGTAAACAGTGATTGTAACTGAAACAGTATGAACCTGGCATTGCGTAGCACATTTGACAACTTACATACAGTAGTTTGACTTTTTGTGATATGTTTCCATTTACTGATTGGCAAAAACAAAAAGTCAGGATTTATTACCTGTAGCAGCAAAGCCCCCACACAGGGCCTCTGACTGTCCCTGAAAATGTCCCTGAAGTTTAATAGCCCATTTATGTATGATTAATTTTTTTTGTTTTGATGGTTAGTCAAATCCAAACATAGTTAAATGTTAGAGGTCTTTAGACAGTTGTTCATTTTGTACTTCTGTTTGTGGATTTAAGTAGCAGACAAAACAATGAAAGTGTTTTAGGGGAGTCATTATAAGTGGTTGCTCAAACACTTAAGAGCTGCACAGGTATTGATTTATATTGTCTCTCAAATTCTGCTGATGTATTACATTAAAGTCAGAACATTGTAGAAGTATTTTGCCTGACTCGGTATAAGTAATAGCTTTAACAGTTAAGCAATAATAAAAACAAAGAGAACCAGAGGTGTGAGTGGACATTGTTAGGTACATTACAGCCAGTGTGTCTAATTAGTTTATTACTTATTTAGTGAATTTAATGTGTTTTAAAATTAAATAGAAATGTTGCCAAAAAGGGACATTGCAACATACATAAATATTCCTAGCAACGGGTACAATGAAAGGACTTTTTAGTGTAATTTGTGTAAAACAAAACATGGTGCACCTCTGCTATTGTAACATGTCAATATTTATTTTAAGATTTACATATTCATATCAGACATGATGAGGTTTTCTGTTGCTTCTGATTTATATAATTACTTTGTATCTAACATTTTTAAAAGTTTTGGTTTTCACACTTTACTAGTACTGACCTGTTGTAGAAAATGTTGGAGCCACAAAGCTTCTGTGTAGGAAATATTTGGTATATCCTGCACTTGTGCCAACAAATATTGGTGGCTATTCTTTGTATTTCTGTAGTAATGAATGCTTTTATTACACTTGCTATAGCCATGTGAGACGCTGCAGTTCATTTATCTCCTCTTTAGACTACAGTAAGCTAATAAAGCCTTAAATAAATTGAGAATTTTACTAGTTAATTTGTGTCACAGTAAATTGGATTGTGTGTAACTCAACAGTCTGATTCATCAAACAGTGATCTGATGATATTGTTTCCTTTCTCTAGACTGCTGATCTGATCGTCTCAGTCTGGTAAGTAAAGGTTTTTCTGAGGTGCAGTGCTGGGAAATGTTTCTCATTATAAGAGATTCAGTTTAGTGACTGTGACGTCAGCACAGCTCTTGGTGCATGAAGTCATCAATCCTAGAAAAGTCTAGTGTAAACATTTCCAGACCTACAGAGTCTATATTTGCACATCTTTACTGGCAGCTCATGAACGCAGTTGGTACAATAGCTTTGTAAGTGTTTTCAATAATAGCACTGCAACCTTGAATTAGTCTTTTATAAGTTGATGTAAAAAAAAAGCCAGTAAGCCTATTTCGTATTTGTTAATATCTAAGAATATCGTATACACTTTAATGACTTGTATGCATATGTGTCTAGTTAGTGGTCTATGTGCATAAACATGCCCCAACTGTGACTGAAAAATGTAGAAACTGCTTATAGGATACATCTATCTCCAAATTTTTCATTTTGCCAAAAGTCATACTGAGTAAATTATTTTTTACTTTTATGTTAACTGGATCGCCCAGACATTATGATGTACTGTTGTACCCAGGTAAGTACACACAGAAACGGTGAATTTGGGATGTACTGGGATTAGATCATGTGATTCAGTGCATGTGAAGTGAGGGTCTGAAACTGTCTGCTCTGAACCTCATGTGTGCGTTTTGTTGACCATATAGATTTTATCAGTAGTTATGTAGCACGCACATCTTGGTTTAAGTTATAGCACTGTATGTTTTTATTATGTTAATAGAATGGTAAAATGTCCTTAGAATAGTTCCACCACCATTGTATGAGCATTTTCATCAAGTTCATCCAATAATTTCTGTGAACTCTTCAGTGTGTAAGATACCTGTATGTACTGTATTTTTCGGATTATAAGTTTGTGCATTCAAGTAACCAAAATCAGATAAGTCAAACTTTATTCAACTCATTCCAATAACTCTCAACATTTTCAGTTGGTAACACAGAACAATACACTCACTTTTCGTTCAGTCCTCTTACAAATCTATCAAATTCTTCATGGATTGATCAGTTTGAAATCTGCTTCATAAGCATGTCTCTAACAGGTGCCAGGTCCTTATACACACACACATAATTTATGTTGAAGCACACATAGAATTACTCTGCGAGGGTCCTGACTATGGTAGCCTAATGCTCCTACAATCATCAAGTACGGTGCAGCTTTGTAGCTTACCAAAGTCTTACTAAAACATTTGACAGATTTTGAGCGCCTGTACCACATAAATGGTTTGAGGTCAGTAAGCACACCAGAATATACATAAGGTACTGTCTATTTTTGAGAAAATAAAGGATTTTAAGTGTGCCTTATAGTCTGAAAAATACTGGTAAAGCATGTTTATTGGAAATATGACTAATTCCACGTCCTTTTGTGTCTTACAGGTGACCTGCTGCAGAAAACCCTCTCCCTCTATCATTAACAAGCAATTCAGTCTGTCCTATCACTCTCCCTCTCTACTGCTCATCTTTTTTGACAAGACCGTTCTATCTTGTATCATTCTCTATCCCACAAGCTCTATCTAATGTTATCAATCATTGAGAATCAAGTTTTGACGAATCAAGTTTGACGAATCAATTTTACACAAGTTTTATGGAAATTGAAGTTACCAGACTTCATCTATCTGTTACAGAATTCTGAGAGATCTCTGCTCTCACTGCCTCCTTCTTTCCTGTCGTTAAACTCTCTCACATCCAGTCATTTTGCTGGAAATTACAAGTAGAAGTTGAATACAATGTAGAATTACAGTACAGTAGAACTTCAGTAGAAACTACTTACACAGCCCTACATTTGTCATTTTAATTTTGCATTAGACAGTTTGGAATAAACATTGATTGGCTGTTTGGCTTACAGGTGCAATTACTTTGATAAATTATATAAATATACACCTCTTAAAGGTTTATTTGTAATAAGACAATCTGGTTATTTTGTAATATATACATTCAGACTGCTCTATTTAATAAATATTAAATTAGATTCAAATAATTTTTCAAGTCTGTTTCATTGGCTATAACATTTGACTACAAGTTTATACTATTATTATTTAAGGACAAACCTCTTTTGTCACTCAGTGTAAGTATTCAGTACAATTGTCATCGAGAAGCTGCCCTGAGGACCCAGACTTCCTGTTTCCTGACTGCTGCAGAACATCCAGCTGAAGAATCCTCATCCTGTCATCTGATCACTACACCACCACAGCTCCTTATATTTGCTTTAATTTTAGATATCTGAAAGATTTACACAAAGTCTACTTAAAACTAAGAGTTTTATTATACTTGTTGATTGTTGAGATTTATTCTGCATATCCCTGTACAATTAACCATCTGGTTAAAAAATAAAGTATACACAGTATTGAGCCAAATTTTTAAGACTTTGAATATCTTTATTTTGAGTTTAGTATTAAAGTCAGCCTTTACATCTATTAAACATTCAAAAAACATTTGTATAATTTTACTATTTCTAGATTTAATAGTTGAGAGTTAAAGTTTTTCAGTGTTTCAGGTTGAGTTTGTTTATATTTGTGTATAAATACATATAAGCTCAGTTTGTACTTCAGCAAAATGCCAAGAAAAGGTCAAAGGTCACAGTCCCAGAAGCTTAGATGGCAAAAGCAGAAGAGAACAGGTAAATGTTTCTCAGAGTGCTGAGCAGGTAAAGTGTGTCTGTTACAAGCTATTCCCAGTCCAGAAGTGCAGAGCAGCGTTCAGACAGCCACAGTGTCTTATGCAGATGTGGTAAAGAGAGGTGTTTCCTCAGCATGTGTGCCAAACGCTAAAGTACAGCAGGTAATCCAGACTGAACCCCAGCTAACTGTCAAACCAGCATGATGGAGAAGCTCCAGGACAGTCTCATGTACAGGTTACAAACAGTGAAAGTCGTCCACGAGTGAGTAGCATCTGTGCTTCCCGAAGCCAGGCCGCTCCTAGGTATGGAAAGTACCGGAATCAGCAATGCATGGCGAACAGTTTGGTTTTCCTGTCATTCTTACACGAGGATGAATTCATTACCAGAGCAGATCTAAACCGTGTGTTGGACAAAGGCCATGCCGTGTATTCAGATGCCAGACTGAGGTTTGTGAACAGCGTGTTTCTAGCCTGCGATGAACTTCCCTCAGTGGTCACCAGCCGCACACACGAGTATCAAGTAGACATGTCTCAGTTTGCTCATTATGGCACATTTGATGGTACAGATCACTTTCTGAGCCTTGAACAGGGACTACAGTGTTTGGTTTCAGACGTTCGCTACGCTTTGCTAGTCATGGGAGGAACAGTCATCGCAGTTTGCAGGCTGACTTCAGGTGAATACGCATACTTTGACCCTCACCCACGTAGGTCTACAGGAATGCCATTGTCGCTAAGTGTAAGTGGTGGAACTGCAGTTATGTTAAAATTCACACGTCTTAACGACATGATTGACAGGATCAAACGTTTGTACCGAATGTTTAGCATCGCACCAACCTGCACTTATGAAGCTACAGCCTGTTGAGTTCCACAGTGAAAACGCTGCTGACCAAAGAAATGCTGATGAAAACAGACAAACAGCTACAACTGTTCCAGCACCAGCTTTAAATGAACCTGAATTTGAAACCCCAAAATCCACTGAGCAGACACAGAAAACGGTGACTGACACTTTAACCACAGAAGTGACATCATCCAAAGTGGATTATTCAAATGAGACAGCTGCTCCTGAAAGTAACCATCGTCCTTCTGATTTTTTACAAAAAGAAACATCTGCACCTTCTGTGAGAGAAACTCGGGTAACATCAGATTCTGTTCCTCAGAAGGATCCAACCACTGCCTCCTGTTCAACCAAGATAACACAGGAACTTTCACATAAACTCCTGAAATATAGTAAACAGGAAAGGAAAAAAATGAGGAGAAGACTATTGGCTCAACCAAAAATAACGGAAAATCAGAAAAAGAAAGCAAGGCAGATGTACACTTTTGATGAAAGCTTTAAGGCAAAGAAAAGAAATTCCAGTGGAAAGTCTAATGATCCTGATCACAGACAAAAGAAGAGTTGGTACAAAAGTAATCTATATAAGCTAAATCCCATATACAGAGAGAAACAGAGAGAGCATTTGAGAAAGATCTATAAGGAAAGAGATGATTTTAGGGAAAAACAGAAAGAGCAAATGAGAAGGATGTATAGAGAAAGTGCTAAAATTAGAGAGAGAAAAAGAGAACGTGTCATAAGGATGTATAAAGACAATCCTATATTCAAAGAAAAGCAGAAGGAACGAATAACAAGAACATACAGAGAATCTCCCATGTTCCGAGAAAAGCAGAAGGAACGAATAACAAGAACATACAGAGAATCTCCCGTGTTCCGAGAAAAGCAGAAGGAACGAATAACAAGAACATACAGAACTTGTACTGAATTCAGAGAGAAACACAAAGCTTGCATGAGGTCATATGCTTATAACCTATATAAAGACAGTGAAGAATAGGGATGGGTACCGGTGTCCGGTGCCATGATGGCACCGGTTCTGACATAAACGGTAGTAACCAGACCGAAAAGCAGCGCACATTTCGGTGCTTTATTTCGGTGCTTTTTTTTCCTGAGCTGTGATACACTTCTAGCCAATCATTTTACGTTTCCGAGGATAGTAGGCGGGGCCAGGTACGTACGTTCTGTTAGAGCAGAGCTACAGATTAAAAATGTCCAAGGCGAAGCGGTCAAAAGTCTGGCTGTACTTCACAGCAAAATATGCAAACTCAGCAGCCTGCAACAAGTGCTTTAAGCTGATACTGTGATACTGTCAAAGGAGGTAACACCTCAAATCCGATGAAACACCTGGCGACGCATAGCGTTTTTTTTAAAAGCCGAGAAATGCGCCGTATTTGATAGCTTGCTGCGAGACCTCACACCGTGCACGTCGGGTGGGTTGCCAGTTATCGGACCCGGAGCAACATCCCCCAAAAACCCGAAGAATAGAGTCCTGGCCCCTAGCCCTGCCAGTGTAGCAGAAATGATGACGGATGATGATGGCAGCAGCAGCCGTTCTTCTCTGCATGAGTAGCTTCATGTTGTTCGTGTGTAATTTACGTTGAGTAGGCTAACCACGTTATTACATTAATGCATGTAAGGTGAACTAGCAAACATCATCATAGCTACATGCGGCTGTCTTCTTGTTTGATGGCAGATACTCCCTTCACCCTGGCCAAAAAGGCTAAAATGACCAAAGAAAAAGTGGAAAACAGCTAAACATGAGAGGTTTTGGACAAAGTTTGTGTTTTTTCCATTGTTTAAGCACTGCTTCCAGCCAAGAGTGATGCCATATATGCCCCATAGCTGCAGAAAAGGCTAACATTGTTATCTTTTTACAAAAAAAACAGCTGAACATGAGAGGTTTTTGGACCAATTTTGTGTTCTCCATTCTTTAAGCACCGGTTTGAGCACCGTTTAAGCACCGGCACCGTTTCAAAAGTACCGATTTGGCACCGGTATCGGATAAAACCTAAACGATACCCATCCCTATGAAGAATTAAACAGAAAAAACGATCTTACATCATAAACGTTATGGAGAAGAGAGACAATTTCAGCAGCAACACAAGGACAATATGAGAGAACGAATGAGAGTAAAATATTGGAACAGTATTTCTTTTAGACAGATGCATAATATCAGATGTGCAATGAAAATAAAAAGAAAATATCGTCAGATGCATCGACCAGCTGAGAGTTTACAGTGTCATCCAGATAACACTTTAATGAATGAGGCCATATCTCGTTTCAGATTAAACATTAAGTCAGCACCATCTTATGTTTGTACTGTTTGTCTAAAAGCTTCTTTTCCTAATCAGGTGAAAATCTGCAAAAGAAACAATTACTCAAAACACCAAACTGTAGCTCAGCAGTGTCTAACTGGTAAATTTGTTCATGTGTGTGATGAAGCATGTAATGATCACTGCAGCTTTCCTGTTGAGAGAAAAAAGGAGTATATCTGTCACACGTGTCACAGTTCCCTCAAAAGTGGACGCATGCCAAGGCTTGCTGCTGTCAATGGTTTAGAACTGCAGGATATTCCAGCTGAACTGTGTGATCTCAACATTCTGGAGAGACATCTGATTGCCAAATGCATACCATTTGCTAAGATTATTCCACTTCCAAAGGGCAGACAAAGACTCATACGTGGTAATGTGGTGTGTGTACCATCTGAAGTCCAACAAACAGTTGACTTGTTT